GGGTATAAGTGTCTCCGCTGCAAGGGAACAGCGGCGGAGTGAGGCAGAAGGGGAGGAAATATGTTCCCTTCGGTCTTGGTGACCTTAGGTTCTTTTGTTGACTGTTCCCTTCCGTTCTAGAGTGTTTTTTAAATGCCTAGATTGCCAGGGGAGAACTAGATACCGTTACCACAAATTCCACTTTGTATTTATACCCCAGCGGAGCCCAGTACACTGCCTTCCTAAGAGTAATGTTGGGCCTCCGCTGACTCTGTTGTGCATGAATCAGTTTGATGGAGCCGGCGGAACCAACTCTTTGGTTACCAGCGGACCCTCGTGGTGGTAGTTTGACACAGTGTACCTTTGTCATACCTCTGCCAGTGGAATTCCCTCTTTTCCATGGTGGAACACAAGCCCTCCACAGAATTGGCCTCTCCTTAATGTTAATCTTCAGTTACCAGCCCATTAAGGATATTGTGGTTCATCCATCAGTTATCAGGCAATTTCCACTTAGCGGAATCACATTTCGATGGTCCTGCCTTCTTTAATAGTGGTAGGTTTGAATTTCCACTGCCATAAATCCTGTTGGTCATTCATTATTACTGTGTGGTTGTTTTTTTTTTGTCAAGGGGATTTGTAATTTTTTTTGGAAAAGGGGTCCTGTGTATCCATTCCTGTATCGGTTCCATAGCGTAAGGGTTAATGCGCCGTGAATGCCTGCCTCTTCTGAGACCAAGGATACTGCAGAGACTCTGGGTTTGAGTCCATTTCCCCTTTTTTTAATGGTGCAACTTTGTTTTCCAGCACGATTCCGGTGGTTGTTCCTTGTTCAATTTCGGTAGGGCTTTTCAGACAGCGGAATGGTTTTTCCCAGCAGTGGAAGTTGATTTAACAGAGTTTCCATGCTTCAATTGTCAACAGAATATGTTTTCATGGTATTGTCGTCAGTGGAATGTGGTTTTCCAAGCAGCGGAAGGGCTGAATTGTCGACCTAACAGTGTTTCCATGCTTCAATTGTCGATGGAACGTGTTTTCATGCTATTATCGTCAGCAGAATGTGGTTTTCCAAGGGGCAGAAGGGCTGAATTGTCAGCCTAACAGTGTTTCCATGCTTTTATCGTCGGTGGAATCTCCTTCAGAAACAACCTGTGTGCCCATCTGCATATTGGCACCGTAGCATAAGGTATTGCACCACGGTGAAACGGTGGCTATGGGTACACTGATGTTCGCAAAGATAATCAGAAAGCTGCTAGACGGCAACTAACCAACTAAAAACACTACAACCAACACACACACACACACACAATTGAGTTTGGGTCGTCCTGCGGTTTACAGATAAGATTGAACTTCTCAGGTTCGTGTCTCAAAAACGCCAACTCGATAGAAGTCTTATTAGGACTAATATGAGCACAAAAGTAGTCAAAGATTGACCAGGGATTATCTACTTCGACTGAAGCGATATGGGTTTTTATATATTTTCTACTTTGAGACACCACAAAGGAGATCTCGAAGACCTATAAGTCTCTCTAGGCTTAGATAGGATTTGCTTCTAAGCACCACAAAGGAGCTATTGAAGACCTATAAGTCTCTCTAGACTTAGATAGGATTTCCTGCCGTACTCTGACGGAGACCACACTGGATCTAGACTTGTGATCGCGACCGAACTCACTGGAACGGATGCCAACGACCGGGTACTGCGACTGAACTCACTGGAACAGTGCCAACAGCAGACCTGAGATAACAATCAACAGGTGCCTTTCTCTAAGTGCATGACTCTCCATGAACACTAGCTTAAGTCCTTTAAAGCTTATATATGCCAACAAGACCACTTTATTATTGAACTATAAGTTTGACTGCTTGTACCATGTCCGACTCGACAATATATCCTTGCTAGCACAGTTATCTAGCCATCCTAGTTTGTCTCGACATCTCGTCTCGACAATATATAGTCCCTAGGACTGTTCTCATCTGATCTATTGGTCCAAAAACACAATGTATTGGAGGTCTGAGCTTTGTGTGTTTATCTCCTTGGTATATAGTGTCTAGCTTTTAGTACAACTGACCCTTTGCGAAGTCAATTCAATACAATGAGTCCCACTGAATCCCAAACACCGTATGCTGAACCCCAATGGTATAAGATTCAAACCATATTGTGCCTAGAAGACAATAGTCCTCTCGCGTCATGAACACCTAGCCAGCAGCTCGGAGCTTACTCTGACTCTTATTGTTATATCACCGGATAGAGGCTCTAGTTTGCGACTAGAAGTGTCAAAATGCAAGATTACACCAGAACACAGTTTCGAGCCGTATCAACGGTTTACTTGATGCACAGTAGATTGTTATCGTGGATGTCCTGGGTTCGACTCCCAGCGGCGCTGTCTCTTTTTAATGTTCTGAATATGCTCATTGTTGTGGTAAGGGAATATCTTCCACTTCTCTGCTAGTCATTTCTGCCGCTGTGAGGAATATTACGAGTTTCCGCAGTCAGTGCATGGAGCCAGCTCACATTATCTAGCACACCCACTGAAGGCCCTTGACGCTCCCTTCACAGCTCATGCTCAACATCTATGTCATGTCACTCTCATGCGCGTGGATCTCTGAGGACCTTTCCACACCGCAAAATCCCTGAATGCGCCACTTGACGGGATGCTCACATGCCAGCCGCTGAAACACTGACTACCTGAACAGATGTGAAATGTAGTAAAAGGTCTATCAATGCCTGAGCACTAACAAACACTAAACCAACACTAAACACTAATCCAAACAATCGAGTGGTGCGAGTACGGGGTTCCAACCAAGTATTAGGTTGATATTTGAACTAGATCTGGTAATAGCTATTTACACGTAAATACTGAGAACGCTCCAATAGCCGATCCAGAGACTCTAATGAGGTCTAGACGAAGCAGCGAGTGGTTTTATCTCGATGGGGTGGTGTGGGGTAGTGCTTGGTAGTCAATAGACTCAAGACTTGTGATCCTTCAATGTTCTCAGCTGTAATATCTGTACCAATCCATGTGCTTTCCCAAATCCTTATGAAACCCAATATGACCCGATATGAAACCGATACAACCCGATACGATTCTGTTTCCTTAACATTCTTTATGCGCACATAGATCCAACAACCAACAAATATATTTGACCAAGAATAACAGAAAGAACTAACAAGTTCCCAATGGTACTCCGAATGAATCCAAGGCTTCCCAAGCGACAATACCAGCTGAGCTGAGTACGTCTAGCAAGAAGGGGTGAATTCACTGGCTTTCCACTCGAAACCTGCTGGTATTTATACAGGAATTATACATCACATGATAAAAGAAATAAATACTACAATCAGTCCACTTCGGTATATACGGATAAACGGACCTGGCTATTTAAAGGTACATGCATCAAAGACCCGGTTAAACGGCTAAATAAGTGCTCTATCCCGAGAGCTGTGCGTCTATCTTTCTGTTTTAAGGTGTTGCCATCATATCTTGATGGACTTGTTATCTTTAGACGTGCCAAGTATAGCGTGTCCGGATAAATTGTAGTAGAGATTGTCCGGGCCAACCAGCTTATCCTTATAGATAGACTGGCTGTCCTGCATCTCTACCTGATGACACCTTTGTCACCCAACTATTCCCATGGTGCCCTAATTCAACCGAATGGTTGGACTTTGATTTACATGTAAATACAATCTTTGATGATTTACGCGTAAATACACAGCAGGTATCGATCCTGATAGTGTTACTGAATGTCCCTGAACGATTCCTGAACTCTCCAAGGCATCCAGGCTCGTGTGATTAAAGTTACAGTGACTTAATATGTCACAAATGTCGAACTTGTGCTTGCAACTGCACCAACAACTCTGCCAATTTGATTTGACCTGCAATCTGGATCCCTTATGAATTCACAGTCTAGATGGATGGTATGTGTTATGTCCTTGATATATGACACTTTCCAAATGTCCCAATTCGATCGAATGGTTGAACATGGAATTACGTGAAATTCTATTGTAGCCCACCTGGCTGTTGACCCTCGTGGTATTGGTGACCAGGCAAGTCTATACAATGTAATCTCTTGTGAAGTGCCTTTAGCCAACAGTCCAGACCTCACTATAGCTCTCATTGTGGGCCAAGTAATAAATAAGCATTGTTCTACTTCAGCAAGTAGAACAAGAACATTGAAATTGATAGATTTCAAGTCTGGTCATTTTCCATGCTTATCACCGCCTTCAGCACATACATGGCCCTCGACCACATCATGCCGGCAGGCCTCAACACCATGTTCTTCTGGCTGGGCTGGATGTGGGAGAGCACGCAGGGTGCACGTGTTGCAACCCCTGCACTGCACACCTCATGCAGCTATCCCTGCTTGGCCATCCCCTCATGCCAGTCCCCTTGCGGCCATCCCTGCATGGCCATCCTCTTGTGCCAGTCCCCACATGCCAATCTGTGTGTGCCAGTCCCCACATGCTAATCTGTGTGTGCCACTCCCTGTGAACCATTCCCCACAGTGCAAACCCTGCACACCCATTCCCGCACGCTACTCCGTACATGCTATTCCCCACGCACCCATCCCCATGCTGCAAGCCCCTCACGCTGTGAGCCTCCACGCACTAACTCCAGAAACTCATAATATTCCTCACAACAACGGAAACGACTAGCGGAGAAAGGAGGATATTCCCTTACAACAACGAGCATATTCAGAATGTTAAAAATGGATGGTACCACCGGGAGTCAAACCCGGGTCATCTACAATAACAATCTGCTGTGCAACACCCTATGCTACGGCGCCGATGGGCGCAGAGGTTGTTTTGAGAACACATTCTGTCGACGATAAAAGCATGGAAACACTGTTAGGTCGCCAATTCAGCCCTTCTGCCGCTTGAAGAACACATTCCATCGACTTCTGCTGCTTGGAAAACCCATTCCACGACTTGAAAGGTCGTATCCGCCGATACTGAATGATAAACATCCACCAGAATTGCAGTGGAAAACAAGTTGCATCGGAAGATTAAAAACTGAATTGTTCAATACAGACGGCCCCACCAGGAATCGAACCTGGAGTCTCCACAGAAATCCTTGGTCTTAAAAGAGGCATTCACAACGTGTTAACCCTTACGCTATGGAACCAATACAGAGATGGAAACAGAGGATCATTCTTCAAATCATAAATCCCCTTTGAGTAAGAAACCCATGCACACGTGGATCAATTCCGCCGCAAATGCATGGTGGAATCCCGTCCAGTAATAATGAATGACCAAGAGGATTTACGGTGGCAGAATCTCAAACCTGACACTATTGAAGAAGGCAGGACCATCAGAATGCGATTCCACTAAGCAGAAATTGCCTGAACGGGAAGATAAACTGATGACTGAACCACAATATCCTTAATGGGCTGATAACCAAAGGTTAACATTGAGGAGAGTCCGATTCCGTGGAGGGCTTGTGTTCCGCCATGGAAAAAGAGGAATTCCGCTGGTGAAGAAATGATGCGGGTACACTGTGTCAAAACTACCCGCACGAGGGTCCGCTGACAACCAAAGAGTCAGTTCCGCTGGCTCTGCCAAACTGTTTCATGCACAACGGAGTCAGCGGAGGCTCAACAGTACTTCTGGGAAGGCAGTGTACTGGGTCCGCTGGGGTATAAATACGAAGTGGAATTTGTAGTAATGGTATCTAGTTCTCCCCTTGCAATCTAGGCATTTAAAATCGCTCTAGAACAGAAGGGAACAGTCAACAAAAAGAACCTAAGGTCACCAAAACCAAAGGGAACACCCTTCCTTCCCTTCTGCCTCACTCCGCCGCTGTTCCCTCGCAGCGGAGACACTTATACCCTACCCCTTATTTGATATTTGCCTCCTCTGTCGCTGTATAGGCCCAAGCAGAGCAGAACTTCCACTACGAACGACGCCGCAGACGACTCTGTTGTATTTGTGTGTAGCCATCAAAACCCTGTTGGGACACCTGGTCCTACAGTAGAGCAGGAGAACAATGGCACACCATTCAAGAAGCTTTCAAAAAGGAGCGGTGTTATATCCATGCACATTCCGACCCTTTCTACACAGCTCCGGTTTTCCGGAGCTTCCCGGAAGTTCCCATCACTTCCGGTCATGCCTCATTCCAAATGATTACTAAGCCCATCATAGCCACTCCTTCCTTACGACTCTCTGGGCTTCCAGGACCATTGATCATTTCCGCATTGCCATTCTGCTCATTTCCACCTTCCGCATTCTCAGGCATATCCGCCATTCTATTCCCTTCCATTTCCGGAACCTCCGGCACAGCCACCTGCTCCGGTTCGATCATCCTTTCTGCGGAACCTTACCATCTCTATCACCATGCTCTACAATCCGTTCCGTTCCGCCCAACCGGCTTGTCTTCTTCCGAGGACTCTTCAGGGATGTTCCCATGCTTCCGGTCAGGTTCGTATGCTTGCAGGCCTTGCGATGATTTGTTCCCACGCCTCCGGAGCCTCCGGCCCTTTTCCGCAGTGGATCAGTTGGCCATCCATTCGAATGTTTCCATCCTCTCAGCTCGTTTCCATGGCTGCGCCTCCGGTTCCGCTCCAAACCGATCGGACCCTCCGGCCCTCCGAACAGCCCTCCGGAAGTTTCCCACGGTTGTCCATGTGTCCGCTGCCAAGCGGGTTTGCATCATATCATATTACTATGTCTTTCCTTTTATCTGTCTTCTTCTTTATTGTGTCTTATGAATCTTTCCCATGCATTTCCTTTTCAGGATACTACTTATTGTTACGTTCCCAAGTCTCCTGACTTATCCATTTCTGGTATTACAATAAAGGACTTATCTATATAATCCCAGTAGATTACATCCTGTACTCTATCTGGAAAATTAATGTTATTCCATGGCTTCCTTCATGGACTGAGTCTTCCTTCAATCTCGTCTTCATTCCGGAGTCTTCTCAACACCTCCGGATCTTGTTTGTCTTTGTTATTCTTTCCTCCGGTCATCTGCATTCTTGGCCGAATCCCTTCCGCTTCATCCGGAGCCTCTTCGGTTCCCTTCCGGGCATCCTCCAAGTCTCCCACACTGTCACAGATCAATCCCAGTTCCCACGCCCTCCTTCCAGAACGCTTCCGGTCACACGGGTCCCATCTGGGATGTGCATCGCTTCCACAAAGTCTGTTACATTTGCGTTGGGCTCCAACGGAGTTTGTTCGCTTCCACCAGCTTCCTCCGGATCACTCTGCACCCCTTCCGGTACCCGTCCGGGTCCATCGGGGGTCACGTGGTTACCTCCGGAATCTTCTATCCTCATTTGTTCTCTGTCTTGTTTCGGCTCGATAGTCAGACAGTTCGCTCACCCTTCCAAGCTGTGGTGTTGCGAGAACAGCCGACAGGAGAACCTCCGGTCTTCTTCCTGACGCTCCGGACTTGCGTCCACGTCCGGAGATCCCGGAGGTCTCTCTTTCCTCTTTTGGCTCAGCATATAACAAGCGGACTCTTTGATGGAAAAAGGGAATTCTCCGTAGAGGCAGAAGAAAGGAACGAAGCAGAGAGAGATTGTGCAGAATTCTAACGACAATCACAGTGGACCCGCCCTACATTTGTGTTTAATAACACTCCAAAGTCAGGAAATACAATGGTGGAGAATTAAAACAGGGCCGACATACCCCAGACTAGCGCCCTCCACATCACATTGGCACCGACCTCTCTCATTCTTGAGGGTAGAACAGAAAAGGAGTGCTACCAGAAGGCTTTTCTCTCCCACAGGGAAGGAATCAGCAACCTTAGGATTCCTCTGTTGCGAGATGGAGTAGTTTGTACACCACCACACTTATAAAACACAAATTCTGCAGCCGTCGAGAGACTTCAGATATACAAAATTTCCCCTAGAGGATGAACTGCTAAGTCTGCCAAGCAACAAACTGACTTGCCAGCAGTAGCACCGCAGTCCAAATCACAACACCTATCCCTGCAGTGCAAACCCCTCGCGCCCATCCCTGTGGTGCAAACCCTGCACTGCAAACCCTGTCTCTAAGGTATGCTCCTTCTATTTTTTGCAGCCTTTTTTGAGCTTATCCTACCTCAGCGTGCATGTTTGCAGCATAGCCACACCTTGGGGATCCTGCACAAGATCCTCAGCATGGACAAGGCCAAACTGCATGCTTGAATCCTCGGGCCAATTCCCAGCACTTCAAGGCCTGCACTCGAATCCCCGCACATCAAGCACTGTGAAATCCCCATGTCCACATCCTCACATGTCAACCCCCAGGGGAAAATCCCCGCATGTCAAGCCCTGTGCCCACATCCTTGCGGGCAAATTCCCATGCCCACATCCTCACACGTCCAGTCCCCGTGGGTAAATTCCCACACCCACATCCTCACACATCAAGCCCTGCACCCAAATCCTTGCACATCAATCCCCATGGCCCAATCCCCATGCACACATCCTCGCACGCCAACCCCTGCAGGCAAATTCCCACACGTGAAGCCCGGTGCCCAAATTCTTGCGTGTCAACCCCTGTGGCCCAATCCCCATGCCCACATCCTCACACGTCAACCTCCCAGTGATCAAATCCTCACTTGTCAGGCCCTGCACGCAAAGGCCCAAGCTGCCCACACTGATCTAGTGGTGCTGGTTCTCAGGCTTCCTCTGGATTGTGGGGACCCAATGATAGTTTTTATATTGTGGTCCTGTATATGATTTATTGTAATGCTGTTGCACGCACATGGCCATTTTGAGGCCTCAAGAACCCAAATTTTTGGACAACCCCTTGGAAGTGCTTCCGGGGCCTGTTTAAGATACAGATAACCTGGGAGGAAAGGCCCGCAGGGATATGTCCAGACCGAAAGGCATGTCCCACATCTGTCCCCCATCATTGTCCCACGGATGTTCCCCATCAATTTGATCCCCATTGTTTCAACCGTTTGGCACAAGCATCCACACCGGCTTTGGCCAAACTTCAGTGTACATTGATACATAATGATTCTTTTGAAATCTGCGCTGTGCTGAAACTTACACTGAATCTTTTAGTTTCAGTGCTGCTAAAACTAAAATTGATTCTTTGAGTTTCTTTGTGAGAATCGCTAGTGCTGAATGCATGAGGCATTTAAGCTATTGGTGGGATATAAATAGCAGGCCAATAGTATATATGGCTCATGCTTTCAGCACTGCTGATTCTCACAAAGGAACTCAATTTTAGTTTCAGCAGCACTGAAACTTAAAGATTTAGTGTAAGTTTCTGTGCATCACTGAAACGGTGACTATGGGTACACTGATGTTTGCGAAGATAATCAGAAAGCTGCTAGACAGCAACTAACCAACCAAAAACACTACAACCAACACACACACACACACACACACACACAATTGAGTTCGGGTCGTCCTGCAGTTTACAGGTAAGATTGATCTTTCTCATATTCGTGTCTCGAAAACGCCAGCTCGATAGAAGTCTTATTAGGACTAGTATGAGCACAAAGTAGTCAAAGATTGACCAGGGATTATCTACTATAAGTCTCTCTAGACTTAGGTAGGATTTCCTGCCGTACTCTGACAGAGACCGCACTGGATCTAGACTTTGGATCGCGACCGAACTCACTGGAACGGATGCCAACGACGAGGTACTGCGACTGAACTCACTGGAACAGTGCCAACAGCAGACCTGATGTAACAACCAAACAGGTGCCTTTCACACAAATGTCGCGACTCTCCACGAACACGGCTTAAGTCCTTTAAAGCTTATATATGCCAACAAGACCACTTTATATTTGAACGATAACAACAAAGATAGTTATATATAACGTATCTCCGCACTAGGCTCAGACCAGCACCAACACCGTTACTTTGGTGGGAGATGCAGTACTGAATCGCGGGTTCTGCTAGGCTTTATATACGATACAGGAATTGTAGAGAGTAATGAGAAATGAGTCAAGATATAAGAGAGATTTGATGTACACGGAACTGCGGAGGTATGCCGCTGGTATTCGTAGTTCAAGGCCAAGACTAGTCATCTAGATTTGACCAGCTCAAACCCATACTAGGTATATTGGTTTGTTCCCAAGGCCTGCCGGTCCTAGCACGTATGCTAGCCAGAAACGTGCCCCAACTGCTTGCCGTGCGACCACGTAGGTCGTGGCATATTTCTAGTTCTCTATTGGTCGACGCG